AGCTTTTGGTTTAATTAAAATCTTAATTTATAATGTAGCATGTACTTAAACATTAGAATGGAGGTTATGAATTAATTAGTTTTACATTATTGTGGGGTTGAGTTTTCCCTATGAAAGGGATAGTGATTCATTGTTTGCAACATATACATTTTATATTATATTATTTTAACAATTCGATAAAGACTCGTTCTTTATCTCCCTGTAATCATGCCTATAGAAGGAGAACCGGATGTGAGTCACACGGGCTTTATCTTGGAGCCTTTTAATGCTGAAAGTGCTCACACGAAAGGGAGACAACACAACTTTAGGACAGCGTCTTTGACATAGCTCCCAAAGACTTATTTTCTAATTTTCTACTTATATTTTATGTTTATGTTATATTGATAAATATCTACACGTAAATAACCTATTTTTTCCAACACTTTTTAGTCTTCGAAGAGCTTCCAATATTACTCGCATTCTTACCTAGAAACAATTTACTAGTAGCTAAATTTTACCCTTGCTGGAAAAATGGGTATATGACCAGATATATCATAGATAGACGCAAAAATTTCGAAGCTGAGGCAAACTAGTCAAGAACATAGTCTAGATCCAGCCCGTGAGATTATTGTCATTCAAAAGTAAAGTTCTCAGAGAAGTTAGGTTCATAAATGTTGCCGAAATAGTACTTTAAAACTTTTGCTCTCCAAGATTTACTATAACAATACTGGCCATTATGCTCAAGCCATTATATCATACGTATTGTCCGTTTTAGAAAAATATTTGTCCTCTTACTCCTTAATGTTTCAGTTACGTCCCCCATCCCTATCATTTGAACCCAAGACTCATGTCCTAGTATTCCCGAGTGTTACATGAGTCCATTCGCCAAACTCAAGCATAGGCCCTCATAATTTATTGTTATGCAATGTAATGTTGACAAGTTTTAGTAAGCTCATCAAAGAAGTCGAAACCACATCAGTGAACTGATTATCCCATAATCGATAAATTTGGGATCGGTTAGGTGAAAGCATGAGTATTAGAGTATAGTGACCCAAATTATGTTTGTCCCAGTCGGAAAAGTTCGCGATGCGATATATGTGCTGCAACTAAAATTATAAGAATAGGTGTATCTGAGCCGCTCAAGTATGTGGGTAAAGACCAGTCAAGTTTAATCTTGTATTTCTTTTGTCATTTGTCATAAGATTTGATGTTTAAGGTTTTGCGTTAAATAATTAAATAAATAGATTAAAAAAAGAAGTGATGAGAAAGGCATCCAATTGTTTCATGATGCACACTTACATGTCGTAATTATTTATGAATATCTTAATTGATTATCAATAAGCCGGTCACAGTAATAGAAGGAATCAGCAAATCATTAGGTATGGGGTGGGGCTGATTGGCCGCCGATGATTAATATTTCATTTTCATCTAAAAATCTCTCTCTCTCTCTCTCTCTCTCTCTTCGTGAAATTTTTCATTTTTTTATTTTACACAAAGTTATATAATAATTTTATTGATAAATAATTATATTTGTTCTCATTGATAAAGCATCCACGTGGAAAAGAAAAAAAAATCTTATGCAAAAGAATCGAGAAAAAATAATGCATTCTTTCATTAATTTAGCTGCAAAAGAATAACTAATATTGAACATTTAACATGATTTTTTGTAATCACTGATCAAAAGTTTATATATAATTAAATATTATATATGGAATTAATATTGAACTCTTAAATTAGAACATAAAATCTCAATTGAATCAATCACATTCTTTATACCCTAAATTCCCATTCACTCCCTTATTCTTTATAGTTGATAAATAATAATAATAAAATCGATCTTTAACACTAAGAACATTATAACAATTTACCCACAATATTCAAAGTTTTGACCACATATTTCGCATCCAAATCGCCCAAAAATATGTCCACAAGGTTTCTCCCAAATCAAGATTGAAACCACAAGGGCTTAGTTTTCCCCACACCTTCCACTTCACCGTTCTAACTATTTCTCAACACGAAGACGATCAGTCCTTGGGACCGCGAAAGAGATGAGAAAAAACATACACACATCGTACCTACTAGGGTGTAAAGTCAAGCCAACAATTGACCGAACCGGATAAACGCGTCACAATTGGGATTACTCGATTTTCCAATCATCAGTAGTGTGAAAGAAACAAAGTTTCATACAAATTATCGAAGTGGTTACATTTATCAAAATAAAATGAATAAATCTCTTTATTCTCAACTTGTATATCGGACTTAATTCTCTTCCGACAAACTACCAAAAATACATAAATATCGCCCAATAAAAAACATCCAGGTTCCCTCCTCTGTCTTAATATATTCTCCTTCCGCCTTTCAAGAACCCAACCCAAAATGGTCGCCGCCACTTCTTTCTTCTTCCTCCATCTCGTATTCATCGCCTTCTCCTTCTCCTCCGCCGATGACGCCGTCGTCATGTCGAAGCTCCGCTCCTCATTGTCCCCCACCCCTTCCGGCTGGTCATCTACCACCAATTTCTGTACCTGGACCAATGTCAACTGTGATAACACCAACTCTTTCGTCACTTCCATTAATCTTATTTCGATGTCCCTCTCAGGTACCCTCCCTTCTGAACTCAATCAACTTTCCATGCTCAAAACCATCTCCCTCCAAAGAAACTCACTTTCTAGAACCTTACCTTCATTTTCTAATATGTCTTCCCTTGAAGAAATCTATCTAGATAACAATAATTTCGATTCGATCCCCCCAAATTTCCTTATGGGCCTTACAAATCTTCAGTACTTCACCATAGATGAAAATAAAAATCTCAGCCCATGGGAGATCCCGCTTTATTTGACTGACAGTACAAATCTTGTCAGGTTTTCTGCTAGTAATGCTAGCCTCACTGGCGTGATCCCTGATTTTTTCTCTGCTTTTCCAAATTTTCAAAGCTTGAGATTGTCTTACAATAATTTTACTGGACCTTTGCCGGCATCTTTTGGTGGATCGGAGATACAGAATCTATGGCTAAACGATCAGATTCTGGGATTGTCTGGAACTATTGCTGTTTTATCTTCCATGACTCAGTTGTCACAGGTTTGGTTACATGATAATGCATTTACCGGTCCGATCCCGGATTTGTCGAAGTGTATAAATCTGTTCGATTTGCAGTTGAGGGAAAATCAGTTCACCGGTTTGGTTCCGGCTTCTTTGAATAGCCTACCAAAACTTGAGAACATTACGTTGCAGAACAACAAGTTGCAGGGGCCTATCCCTGAGTTTCGTAAAGGGGTTCAGGTGACACTTGGGACTACTAATAGCTTTTGTAAGGACACTGCAGGGCCTTGTGATCCACAAGTCACTTCACTTCTTGATGTTGCTGGTGCTATTGGATATCCAATTTCCTTGGCTGATTCTTGGAAAGGGAATGATGCCTGTCAAGATTGGAAATTCATCACTTGCGATTCTCAGAAGATAAATGTGAACGGCGTAAACCTTGGAAATCAAAAGTTTTCTGGTACTATTTCCCCTGCTTTTCGTAATCTAACTTCTCTGAGGAATTTGATTTTGAATGATAATAATCTTACTGGCTCGATCCCAAATGTCTTGACTAGTTTGCCTCAGCTTCAAACTCTTGATGTGTCTAATAATAATTTGTCTGGTCCGATACCAGTTTTTCCTGCAACTGTGAAATTTATTCATGATGGTAATTTGTTTCTTGGTAAGAATGTAAGTACTGGTGGGGAAGGAGAGGGTGGGGCACCGGGATCGGGATCTGGTTCGCCCAACGAAACTCCTTCTGGGAGTAAAAAGGGCTCTGCAGTTCCTGCAAGTGTGATTACTGGTGTGGTTGTGGCTGTTATGGTTTTTGTCGCTGTTTTGTTGTTTGTGTCTTACAAATGCTACGTAAGAAAACGCCTTAAGAGATTCGGGAGGATTGAGGGTTCCGAGCAAGGAAAAGAAACGACGAAGAGTAGTGTTACAAATGGTGTGAATGGTTATGGTGGAGCACCAAGCGAGTTACAAAGCCAGAGTAGCTGTGATCATAGGGAAATTCCCGTTTTTGAAGGTGGAAATGTTGTTATCTCGAAACAAGTTCTTCAAGAAGTTACTGACAATTTCAGCGAAGCCAATGTATTGGGTAGGGGAGGGTTCGGAGTAGTTTACAAGGGCGAAATGCATGATGGGACTAAAATTGCGGTAAAGAGAATGGAATCTGGACCAATGGGTACTAAAGGAATGAATGAGTTCCAAGCAGAAATTGCGGTCCTTACTAAAGTTCGACATAGGCATTTAGTTGCCCTTTTAGGCTACTGTATTAATGGCAATGAAAGGCTCTTGGTATACGAGTACATGCCACAGGGAACTTTAAGCCAGCATTTGTTCGAGTGGCAGGAACACGACTGTCAACCACTTTCGTGGAAACAAAGGGTAACGATAGCATTGGATGTTGCTCGAGGAGTCGAATATCTTCACAGTTTGGCTCAACAAAGTTTCATACATAGAGATTTGAAACCCTCAAATATACTTCTTGGAGATGACATGAGAGCTAAGGTTGCTGATTTTGGATTGGTCAGAAATGCTCCCGACGGAAATTATTCTGTTGAGACACGGTTGGCTGGGACATTTGGCTACCTTGCTCCTGAGTATGCCGGTAAGTATGCTTATACATCTCTGTATTACATTTATTTTAATCTTTAGATATTATAATTTCTCTGTGGTTTAGAATATCATGATGCACAATTTGAGTTTCTTGTTCTACAATTAAGACTGAATTAGCTTTCGATCTTAGAACTGCTATTGGACTGATTTTTACATTTTTACGTTCTAATTATACACAGTCACACAAATAAATCAAAGGTTGTATGTTGTAGGTCTCTAATTTTTTGTACTTGAGTTAGTATGCTGATTCTTGAATTGTTGAATTCCATCATCTCAAAAGAAATGGAAGAATGTTTTATAGAATTTTGCATTTTTGCTGAAACTGCTTTAGAGATATGGTTGTCTCTAGTCTTTTGCTTTCTATTTATGACTGTTATCCTTCTGTTCTTGCAACAGCTACAGGACGAGTAACAACGAAAGTAGATGTTTATGCATTCGGAGTTGTTCTGATGGAGATTATCACTGGTAGGAAAGCTCTTGATGAGAGCGTGCCAGATGAAAGGTCTCATTTGGTCACATGGTTCCGCAGGGTCCTTATCAACAGAGACAATCTTCGAAAGGCTATTGACTCGATTCTTGATCCCGATGATGAAACTTACGAGAGCATTTGCAAGGTTGCTGAGTTGGCTGGACACTGCACAGGGCGTGAGCCATTCCAGCGACCAGACATGGGACATGCCGTTAATGTATTAGGTCCACTTGTCGAGCAATGGAAACCTTCGAACCACGACGATGAGGAAGGTAATGGAATTGATCTCCATATGAGCCTTCCACAAGCCCTTCTAAGATGGCAATCCGATGAAGGTACTTCCACAATGATGGATGATTTCTCGTACAGTCACACACATTCGAGCATACCGGCAAAACCTTCGGGATTGGCGGATACTTTTAATTCGATGGATTGCCGATGACAATCAAAAGGAATTTACATTTGCAAGGAAGAAGCCATAGAGGTAAAACACGTGTTCGGATCGTTTTCGAATCACTAAATGATATTGCAAATTGTATTTAATTTATTCTTTTCCACCTCTCAAAATATTTATTTCCTTTCTTTCTTGCAAATTGTAAGAAAACTTGAGTTGACAGAATTGTTTCTTTTAGTTTATTGGATTGGATTCTTTTATGAGATTTTGATGTAGAACTTGTGATCAAGTTGGTTTCACATTGGAAATGAAAAGAGAGATTTGTAGCAAACTCTTTTGCATTGCTTATTGTTAGTTTGAATATTCAATACTGGCAGTTGATGATTTCGTTGACCTTTGTAATTTTGTATGGAGTTTGGAAAGTGTTGGTCGAAGAGAAAAATGGCATGTTTTGCGGAGTGATTGGAAAGGGTTGACTCGAATTGCATTACAAACTTGCACAAGGCGTTTCGTCCGCCTTGTGAGATTAATATTAATTAGCGGGACCTACTCGAACATTTGGTCGAAGTTGATTACATAGATAATTTTCGGTCTGTCTGTTTTTCATTTATTCCAGCGATTAGTTTCTTGAATTGGAATCCTATGTACGTGCCAGCAAGATATGAAGATTATTCAAGAAATTTGCTGTAACTAAGCTGTCTACGCGGAGAAAACCCCTTCTGTCTTATAATTTATTCATAGGATTTTACTTCTGTTTTTTAATATTGAAAGAAAAAGTCATGTTCTGGAGAACATGCCAAAAGTTGCATGTTTGAGGGTGTTGATTGTTGTTGTGGATGCACATGCTGTGGGGCCCGTTATTTGTTAAAAAGTGAAAAAACAAAGAAAAAGTTGGGCCAGTTTTGTTATAAATTGATGGTTTGAAAAACGTAACGCAACCAATGGATAGAATTATAAAAAGATTGA